CTGCGAAACCTTTTTTCAAAGGTGACCTTGACACATAGCCTTTCGAATAGTGTAACTTTGTCTTTGAAATTTGTTTCACAGAACCATGAATTAACAATAATTATTAATTAAAAATAATTAAGGTTATCCTCATGCAGCCTTACATATTTGACATAATAACACTACTATTGATACTAGTGTATATCTATAGCGCTCTAAGCCCAGTAATTATCCTCGAATCATATAAATGCCAGCTTTGTTTGAATTGCTTATCTTAGTCCATTTAAGATAATGCTCATTTATCTTTCTATAGGGTGTGTGGCATATACCGAACCGGGAAGTTGATAGACCAGGAAGCTTTGCATTCCACATGTCAAGATGCGTAACATTACTGATGCAAGTGCTCAAGGAGACAAACGATGGTCGAATGTTAATGCAATTAAGCATACAACTTGGGAAGATACCAGAATCAGACAAGTACATTTCTAGTTTAAGTATATGTTCCATTCGCTGTAACTTTCACTATAACATCTTAGCGAAGAGATATATTTCATACGGTGGCTTGATAATTATTAAAATAATACTAAGCGTACTACTTTTATATACTTATTTGTTTTAGAAAATATCTACGTGACACGGAAAGAGAGCAACTCTCTCGCCAAGCATTGACTCTCTGCCTGCAGTCTCTCAGAAGAAAAGTGCAATTAATGGGATCAAGTACTTCTGATACCATATCGAACAAAAACCCAGATGCCAGGACTCAAGTTCTCCTCGATACCTATTGGGCATACCAGAGAGCTGTGAAATGCTTCCAGACCAAGAACTTCCAGACTATACGTACACTCTCTACTCTGCTTGTGGACACGTACAAGATTTATGTTGATAATAAAGTAAGTCATCGAAGAGAATAAACATTGAAAATATTGCATGGGATAATTTAATGTTTTATTGACAGAACCTGGAAGGAAACATTCTGGAAATTGCCACAAAATTCTGCAACGAGTACAATTATAATCGCAAGGTTCTGAATAAATTCTTCTGCAGCCTGGACAAACCTAGTACAGACACTCAGACGCAGCCTCAAACTGTGTCTCCAACACCGGTGAGTTTTATAACATGAAGTGTAGGTTATTCCTCCTATGTCTAACATTTTTCCCTAATATTCCATTATAATATCCCATAATATATCCATTTCTCCCTAATATTCTAATATATATATATATATATATATCTAATATTCCTCCTAACATTTCATATGTATCGAAGCAGGTGGTCACAACTCAAGCTCATGTGAGTTCAGTGTCACCGCAGTCATCTCAAAACAGGAAACCGTACAAAAGTATGACATCCACCGGTCGACCAAGGGGACGACCACCCAATGTCAACAAATATTTGCAAGCCATGCAACAGGGAGGCAGCACGATGAACCAGTTCAACACGAAGGCCAACTTTGCAAACTACATGGGAGCATCAGGGAACTGCGCTTTGATGAATCCCTACTTCATGCATCCCTTAGTAGATCCCAACATGCTCTCTGCTATACTGACCAGTAGTTTAAGTGGCAGCATGATGGACCCTCTATCGACCATGAATTACCTAAACCAGATGGGTAGCTACCAGGACATCTTCAGACAGTACCAGAATTTCTCTTCGCTGTCCAACTTAACTGGTTTAAATAACACAAATGCCACTAGTGTTCCTACGATGAGCACTTCCACCTCTAATATCAACACAGCGCCTAACATGAACAATCTAGGTAACTTGAACAACCTATCGGTGCAGCAGCTTTTGAGTTTAAGCAATTCAACAGCCACCACTGCGCGCTCCACGCCTATGTACCAGCAAGCAGCCACGTCGAAGACAACCACCACCACCACCACCACAGCGTCGATCACTAAAGACAGACCTAGCATATCCATAACACCAGTGAACACAGTACCATCTAAAAGCAAACCTCCCAAACAGAGCTCGCAAGGCGACGCGTTGCCCATCCAGCTCCCAAAATCTCTGCAGATATCGCAGCCTTCGAAACCAGTTCTACAACCTCCTACGACTCAAGTCTCCCTCCTGAAGCCTTCTATCGTTCAGCACGTGAAAACCAGTCCGCCTAAACAGATGAGCGCGCCTCAGATTCGAGTGTCTAAGTCGCTGACGGAGCCCCAACCAGCGCACAATCCCTCCCTGTCGCACTCTCCCTTGAAAAGCACTACGCCCACGAATCCAACTGTGGTACCCCAGATCGCTCATTCGACGATGGGTCCGTCGATGGGCCTGAAGCAAACGCTGCCCATGAACGTGCCCGCTTCCCACTCGGGGACCTCGTTGCAGCACAAATTGCTGTCGAAGAAGAACTCGCAGCGACCGTACTCGCAGAACGTGCAGAACCCTATGAGGAGACCCAAGCCTAAAGCGGTACCCATGCTGCCTAGCAACTTCTCTACTCTGTTGAGCGCTATTCCTGGCAACTCGACCATGACGCAGGCGCCTTTCATTCCTCCTGAACTGAGTGGAATCTCCGTGAGCCCTGTAAACCCTCAAACCGGCCTGAAAGGTCCGAGTATAAAGTATAGCAGTTATAAGAAGCCTCCTGCAAAAACGAAACCATCACTGGTAGATACTTCCAGCTCTTTGTCTAACTCTTTCCCTCAAGGGAGCTCTGTGGAGGCGTTGTCTATGCTCTCTCAACTGAAGCAACATTCACACTTGGAGATCATACCACAGCAGAAAGCGCAAGCGAAACCAGCCATGGAGTTTCCTAAGAACCTGTCTTCTGGGGTCAGCGTAGTTCCACAGAAAGCTTTGGACCCTCTCAGGCCATCGAATACAGAGTGCATGACTATATATGACTTACCTAGGAAGTCGAGTACTGTGTCTGGGAAAAAAGGGGAGAAAGCTAATGATAGCGTAGAGATTATAACATTAGATGATTGAATTAAGAGGTTAGGTTCTCCTATTTTGTATGACTTGCATAGAAAGTCTAGGACTGTTTCTGGGAAGAAAACTTGGAAATCATACCACAGCAGAGAGCGCAAGCGAAACCAGCCATGGAATTCCCTAAGAACTTGTCTTCTGGGGTCAGCGTAATCCCACAGAAAGCTTTAGACCCTCTCAGGCCATCGAATACAGAGTGCATGACTATATATGACTTACCTAGGTAGTCGAGTAACGTGTGTGCGAAAAAAGGGGAGAAAGGTAATGATAGCGTAGAGATTATAACATTAGATGATTGAATTAAGAGGTTAGGTTCTCCTGCGTATGACTTACATGGAAAGTCTAGGACTGTTTCTGGGAAGAAAAGAGAGAAAGCTAAAGGTAGACGATTGAATGAAGAGATTAAGTTCTCTTCATTCCTTAGTCGAGTATTTTCTGTTGATTATTAATACAGATCTGCGATCATCAATAGACTGGGGATCTTTATGCATTTATAGAAAATTTAAATGTGCAAGAATCTACAAAATGCAAACAATATGCAAGAATATAAAAAGTATTGAAAGTCAAATTCATGTTACAATATTTGCTATAATATGCATTTATAAGAAATTTAATTGTGCAAGAAACTACAAAATGCACGCAGTATGCAAGAATATAAAGAAGATTATAAAGAATATAAAGAAGAAGGAGAGTAGAGTTCATATTATAATATTTACAGAGTAAAATAAATTCCTATTTAGGTTCAATTTTTGTAGACACGTTTTGTAGACACAAAGGATTTTATTTTGCATAAAGATCCAGCAGTCTAGCCATCAACAATGTAAAGTCATGATGTATTATCCGTAAGGTGCGTAGTTATGGAAACGATATTTTGTAACACCTTTGCAACCGTTTTCATTTCTATCGAGGACGACTGAAGAAAATAGATTGCTAGCCTTCTCACTTCTGTGCCTAATGGGATCATTCTACATGAGCCGTTCGAATGTCGCATACGAGAGTAGATAATAATAGATGTATTCTAAATCGTGGGAATCGAGAGAATCATGTACGCCTCGGGACGACGATGTTCGGATACTGTTTATTTTCACGGCGAGGCAATGGCGAATATTATTTCACGATAATTCCAAGGATATGCCACTGCTAATTAATAAATGCGACGAATTATTTTTCTACCGTGTACATTCAGCAACTGATAAGAACTTTTCTTTGTTATGATGTGTAAAGATATGGGAAACGAGAAGAAATGTAATTAGCTGTTTGCGGAGATGTGTACAGTTTCTAATGGATTATCTATAAGAACACTTTTTTTTCATTGAAATGAAAAAGTATGTATGCGAGGGTGTGTTATTTTACAGTAGTGTATTTTTTTTGTTCGAGTGCTGATTAAATTAGTTGCTAATAACAATTTTTATCTCGGTTATAGTTTGAAATACATGGGAAAATATTTTGGTTTCCTTTCAGGAATATTTTTCATTCGCTAGAAAATTGTTGAGAGACAAATGAAGTACACGGTATCGCAGACAATTAAATTATCTACAAAAGAAAAGCCTTATGAGTCAAGTTTGTACAATCAATACTTTGTGTATTTTTCATTCGCTACAAAATTCTTGAGAGAAAAATGAAAGTACACAGTATCGCACAACAATTGAATTATCTACAAAGAAAAGCCTTACGAGTCAAGTTTGTACAATCAATACTTTTATTATGTAGCTTTACATAACATTTTTAATTGGAACTGGTGTCAAATCATATAGAGAACCAGTATTTCAGCAAGATATTGATTTTTCAAACATTATTCAGGAGATCTTTTTGAAGATATTTCTGAAATTCATAGAAATGTTGAAATATTGATTTCTCCAAAATGATATAAGCCACTTCTTTCATAGAGACTTTTCATTATCTACAATAAATGTTGTATACAAATTTCTCGTAAAGTAGATCCTTGCGTGTTTTATATTCAATTTTTCAATCAGCACCTGACCAAAAAAAAAAGGAATCCTCTAAAATAAAATACCCTAATAAATATACATAAATATACATATATATTTAAAACACTATTCACCTGTATCAAATAAGAACTCAATGTCACCTTTCATTTCGTAACGTTTATTTCTTTACAGGAAATTATTACAAAGTGCGAAATATTTGTATGTGTACATTATATATTGTATAATTTATTTTAGTGATTTAGCGTAAGGGTACATGTTTTATAAATTTGTACATTTGTAGGATATTTATACGATTCTCGTCTACATTTATTTATTTGCCAGCTTGAACGAGTTTGCAGGAAAACCACGTGCGCCCAGACCTTTTATAGCGAACAAGTAGCCAGCGTGTGGTTGTTCTTTCAATTGTTTCTCGGTCAAACCTACCGTAGCCGTCGTCACGTACAGGGTGTCCAAGTCGGCACCGCCGAACGCCACGCTGGTTATGTTATCGACGTTGTTGATCTTGATAAATCGTAACAACTCACCCGTTTCCGGTTTTATTTGCATCACCTAGACATTCAACATTTTCCTCTCTCAGGTAAATCGATTATTTATCGATGAATCTACGATTACGTTAATTAAATACTTACACCGCCCCCACCAAACAAAGCAACCCAAAGATTCCCATTTGTATCTATAGTCATACCATCTGGAATTCCAGGCATGTTATGTTTCTTGAGGTCGAAGACAGTCCTCCTGTTAGCTAGAAAAAGAAAAGAGAAAACATTGTAAATTTGTTTAAAAGTAGTAGTTTAAAGTTTGTGTAAATTTCTTATTACATATAGTTGCTGTCTGAGGATTGTAGTCGTAGGCTTCAACCTGATAGGTCAACGAATCGATGTAATAGAATGTGTCTTCGTTAGGAGTCCAAGCTATTCCGTTGCTTATAGATACAGATGGTAAGTGCGTTTTCACCGCAAGATCATTGTGAACGCAATAGAGAGCTCCGACATTGTGTGGAAATACTCCATTTGTCTCATAGCCCATCGTTCCTAGTAAGATTACACTATCGTACAATGTAAAAACTTAGAACAATACATTTTCTTAGAAAACAGGACAAGTTTTGACTAACCACCCCAAATTCTTCCAGAAGCATCTGCTTTTCCATCGTTCCATCTAATCTCTTTGGGGTTGGTGCCCGTAGTAGCTAGCTTTCTACTTTCGCACTTCAATGAATCTTTCTTTCCATCCCACGTAAGCATCAGAATCTCTGTTCTAGATCCTACCACCACTTTATCGCTGGCACCATCCACAGGGAGAACAAATCCAACAGGTCCGTGTTCTGATAATAGCAAAACTTATTGTTAGATACTTATCGGTATCTAGGAAGTGTGACATACTGACAGTAGATAATAAAATACTTGCCCACGTAGGTCGAAGTGAGAGCCTTTGTCGAAGGGTCGTACTTGAACACTTTCTGAGCGAATATGTCAACAAAGTACAGCTTTTGAGACGCTGGGTCCCAGTGTGGACCTTCGCCAAGGTTGTATGGTCCTATTAGGGGTTCGACTGTTACTTCTGCCATTTTTCTAAAGAAGAATAATTGTATTGGATTAATTTGGAATTGGAAGAATTGGATGTATCGTGAGTAAAAGGTAGATTTAAGTGCCTTAAGTCGATGAGATAATATATTTGGTAAATTTCTGTTGATTTGTTTCGAATTCAGGATGGTTTACTGTAGTAAAGAATGGTACCAGATGGATCTTAACTTTATATATATATATATGAAAGCAACAAGTGTTTGTTACAGTTTCTCTGATATATACCAGTTTATAAGCATTTCAGTTCAGTAATGGATATCTATTTTTAGTTAATTACAATCCATACAAGTGCCGGTTTAAATTGATTTTGATAGATTGAGTAACTTACCAGCCTGCCAATGTAACAAGAGCAATGGAAGATTGTAGTCGTGGAGGAAGATCTTCACTGTACGAGTGAATTGATTTCTCACATATGTACATATATATACTTGTTACAACCATTAGATAAATGCGGTACACCTCTAACTATCATTATCTATTGCAACATAAATCATGGATAGGTTATCAAATAAAACTAGTCCGAAAATGATAAAGCATGTTATTTTGAATTGTAATGAATTGAATTTATTCTGATTTATATGATCAAATTATATTGGATATATATAATTAGTATTCATAATAGAGATGTAGGATAATAAAATTCAATGCGTGTGAATGTTTCAAGAGCGTAGAATAAGTTTTGCAAATAGAAAACTGTAGATTGAATTTTAATTGGTTCGTTCAACAGTTTATTGTTGCGTAACATCCTATATATACATATATTAATATCAAATGAAAATATAGTTATCATATGACATATATATTTATATAAAGTTAAGATCCATCTGGTATAGCATATATATATATATATATATATATAGGATGTTATCCAACAATAAACTGTTGAACGAACCAATTAAAATTCAATCTACTGTTCTCTATTATATGTATATATATGCTACATGATAACTATGTTTTCATCTTAACAATTTACTATTAATTAAAAACTCTTTCGTTAATAAACATTAATCGTCCAGATTTTTCAAACGTTATTAAACGCTATTTTATGATTGTTTAAATTGAACTTGCCTATTTTTTCATATAATTAATCGATACCATTAATCTTATATATATGTGTTATTTTATGTACTGTAGTCTATCAAACAACGAAGGAAATATCTAAATATACATATAATTTAACGAACTTGGTTGTACGAACAATGGAAGGTTATGTGACGACAAAGATAATACACGTTTCTTTTTTATCATGGTAAGTCATGCGAATAAAGTTGTACGAATAATAAAGAGGCCATCACCTGGTAAAGACGGTTATTTCTTTATCGACTCAGCAGTGGGTTGTCACCTGAACTTTGGCGGAAACTTCTTTATCGACTCAGAAGAGGATCTGTTTTACCGTCTTGTGTTCCGTTTGTCTTTTTGAATTGCTGTTTGATTTTTCTTAATTAATAAATTGCTTTCTGGTTGTATAATACGTGTGACCATTAAAACTTGAAAATAAATCCACTTATATTCTGAACATATTTTAATATAGTCTTTAATACTATAGCGTCAATAATTACTCAATATTATTAAATAAATATTCATAAAAATGATAAATTTGACATAATAACACACGCTCCCATCATTTTATTATTCTCTACATTTACTATTTTATTTAAATTGAGGTATCTTTTAGGAAAAATATCTTTATCTTCCATTTATTGTAAATAATAATTTTAAGCTCGCCTTCTGAACATATCTAAAATATGTACGCATATGTAAATGTTAAATAGCATGTTAAAATAATATATTCCAGTATTATGAAGCAAAGAATCAAATCCAAAAAAGGAAAACCTTTAAATTAAACCTATCCAGCTAGCTATCGACATAACCAAAAACCACTTTTTAAGTTTCCATTAGTATTGGCTTCACATCTATTCAAAATTACAATAGAAATTGTCTCATGCTGTAATAGTATTTTAAACAAAACAACTAGAATGGTTTTCTTTATTTTCATATTTATTCATTGCTGTTTCCAAAGAATACTCAACGTATCAATATATAATACTCAAAGGTATCGCAGAACTTTTCAAATGAAAGTGAAATCACAATCTGAATGAGTTTGCAATCAGACCATGTACTCCTAAACCATGTACAGCAAAAACATAACCAGCGTATGGTTGTTCTGTTTGCTCTTTTGGAGTTAAATCTCTCTTCGATGTGGTTACGTACAGAATATCCAAAGAGGGCCCTCCGAAAGCACAACTAGTTACAGCTGTCACGGGAAGCTTTATAATACGCAACACATGACCAGTGTGAGGGTTTACATTGGCCACCTATTGTTTAAATTCTTTGTTATTTCACAAATTTTGTATTAAAACTTTGCTATTGATACTTACACCACCTCCGTTGAATAAAGCTACCCAAAGGTTTCCGTCCCTATCTATGGTCATTCCATCGGGCAGCCCAGTAACATTATTCTTCTCCAGATCGAACGCAATTCTCTTATTTGCTGCAAATAAGAATATTTCTTGCAAACTCTGCTTTCAATGAGTCTTATATATTGCGAACTCTGCTTTCGATGAGTCTTACATATTGCGAACTCTGCTTTCGATGAGTCTTACATATTGCGAACACATATTTTAACAATTTCTTACATATAACTCCTTCGATGGGCTCAAAGTCGAATGCTGCAACTTGTCTTGTGGGTGTATCAATGTAGTAAAGCGTATCATCCTGAAAATTCCAAGCCAATCCGTTACTGTTTGTGACAGGAGATAATTCCTTCTTTGGGTTCAAATCAGAATCGATACGATAGAATGTTGCTTGATTGGGTACAACTACAGCGTTCACCTCTGGACCAATCGTACCTGCAAAGAAGATGTATTCAATAAGAAAGCAATATATCGAATTATGTTTCTAATATATTAAAATTTGCAACCAACCACCCCAGAACCTTCCCGAAGAGTCCACCTTTCCATCATTCCATCTGGTACCATTGCGATCAGTGTCTACAATAGCCAATGTTTCAGGGCTAGACCTCGAAACATTCCTTTCGCTGTCCCATGAGACCAGAACAAAGTCTGTACCAGTTCCGCACACCAGTTTGTTTGGTTCCCCTTCAACAGGAACAGCTACTCCGACAGGACCATTTTCTACCAGTGATTTGAAGTATTAAATTTCAAGTCTGGTACATATTTTCAGTACCGTAAGAATTGTAAATGTACCAATATAGATACAGGCGAGATCTTTCGTTGCAGGGCTGAATTTACATATCTTTTGCGCAGTTATGTCAACGAAGTAGAGTCTCTGAGAATGGTGATCCCAGTGAGGTCCTTCGCTGTGCTCAAAATCACCTACCACAGGCTCGATGACTACCTTGGAACAATCATGCGCAGCTCTGGAGACATGAAGATGAATGTGTATTATTTAAATTTTGTTTTGGAAAGAATTGTGAAAGGCATTTGGCACTAAAATTACTAATAGTTGATGTGTTATGGGTACTAGCTATTATAGATACTATCTATTATAGATACTACGCACCAGAAATATTAGCTATTATAGATACTACGCACCAGAAATATTAGCTATTATAGATACTACGCACCAGAAATATTAGCTACTATAGATACTAGGCATCGGAGACATTAGCTATTATAGGAACTAGACATCAGAAATACTATCTATTATAGATACTAAGACATAATTAGTTCTCTATTTCTAGCAGAACTTTGAATTGAGTAATTTAATAGAAAAAATAGTTTGACTACAACTTAACGTATAACTCAAATTTATTGATTTAGTAGTTCCATTTGAACATCCATGATTTATCACCTTTTAAGTAGTATCGTTTTATACAAGATAAAAGTGACACAGAGTATGTACTGTATTCAACATTCCACAGTCCTTTCACTTTCAAGTTCATTCCACTTACCCAAACTGTACGCAGAGAGCAAGATTTAATCCAAGAATGAGAACTGTAAAAACGATGGCTCGCATCGTATTGCGATTGTTAATTGGAAGAAGAAGAAATATATATGGAACGAGTGGAGTGCAACTTATGTGTTGCACGCTCCAAAGGAAAACAGCGAGTGAGACTCGATTGTACTTTTACGCTTCATATACCTTTTCCACCTTCACTGAACGCCAATAATGAATAGCGTGTCGTTTAGGGACACCTATATTTTAAATACACGAAATCGGTATTGTCATTGATACGAGATAAAGCTGTTTATATGACTAAGTATAATTACACAGTCATTTTAACAAAATTGCTTTTTGTCTCTGTCTACAGGATTTTTGTTAATACTTATAAGTATATATAAATAATATAAGTAATATATACAAGTAATATATTCTCTTTGTTTCAAAATTGGACGTAATGGAAAATGGATGTAATTTATAACAGCATGTCAGCGGTAATATTAATTAAAAACAGATAACAGAATGAAAATATGTTTCCATCTTCATAAATTTTATACTAGTTTGAATAATAAAGACTTTTAATGCTCTTTCCTGATTGCTATTGATAGCAAAGTGGCAATTGCATTGGCCGAGCTTCAATTTTTCTTGCATTTTCAGGTCTTTAGAACTCAAATATGCAGAAAGATCAAGTAGAAGTTCGAATGATTCATACTCTTATAGTTTTCTTATAGTAAATAAATTCCTTATAGTAAAAATAACAGTTGAATAGTTGTATATATACAACTATACAGTTATATATATATATTCACTACATATACAACTATAGTTGTATAAACTATATTGTTGTATGGTTCTGATGCCTTCCATTGTTCATTTCTAATTGCTACTAACAGCAAAGTGGTAGTTCCATTACGTTAAAAATTGATCATTTCATTTATTTTGCATTTTGAGATATTCAGATTTTAAAAATACAAAAAGATCAATTAGAACTGAGATCAGTTTATTTGTATTTTTAATTTGTTACTGAATCATGTAATTTGGCATAATTAAGTGTTCTTGAGGATCATCAAGGGTTATTTGACACATTCTGTAACAAAATTACTAATTTAAAAATTAATAATCTCAGTTTCATTTCTTTAAAATAAAAGAATAATTCAAAGAATTTGTTGCAAGTGAAAAAACACATGTACAGTTTTTTTTAAAGTAACGTTTCTTTCCTGTAATTGAAAACACGTACGTCGATGTTCAACCATCGTTTTATGACACGAAAACGATCAATCGTGTCTCGATTAACTAATCAATATTTATGCAAAACCAGGTACGTTTTACATAATGTATTTGACGTATGTAAATGTCCGCGAGAGGCTCTAAATTAGCTTTGGCGGCCGTGATATCGCGAAGATAACTACCAACGTTTCCAAGGGCGAAGTAAATTATATATATATATATATATATACACACACTTTTTAATTATTAGCATTTTTCTTATTATCTTTCGCAGGCTTTGCAAGTAAAAGGACACGTGTCATAATTTATAAATTATGTTCCAGGTGCGCTCTTTTTTGTAGCAAAAAAATTTAAGATTTTTTTTCTTAACAATTTGAAACTATTTTTCTGTTTGGCAGTAGATTTATAGTTTTACAGTTGTATGGTTGTATAGTTTTACAGTTTTATAGTTGTATGGTTGTATAGATTTAT